GTTCCAGCGCTTTCCAGGAGAATACAGGAGGTGCTATGTCACCATTGTTTCTTAAAGCTCCAGTCATTTTGAATGGAGGCTCTGTGCCCAAGGTCACTCCCGGCTGGGAATTCAATCTTAACTTGTCCATATCCCTCCCCGCTACAGAGCCAGCTCTCCTACAGAGGAGGGAGGTGAGGTGAGATGAAGAAGTATCACAGCAAGGGGGAAGAGGTAGGGCAGGGTGGTCTAGGGATCGGGTCCTGGGGAGCCTTCCTGCCCCATCTGGCCTGGGCCCTTAGCCTGAGTCTGAATCACTGGTGTCTGAGGAAGAGGAAGATGAAGAGGAGGAGCTAGAATCTGAGCTGGAGCTGGAAGCGCTGAGGCATGACACTGCTACTTGCTGTGCAGAGGACGACTCTGTTATTCTCACTCACTTTTTTGGGGGGCTTTTTGGTGGAGTTGAGCTGCCCACTGACATCCTGTAACCGCTTTTCTAATCTCTCTTCTTCTCCAAAGGCAGTTCCTCCTTTGTCTTTCCCATAGGTTTCTTGACAGTGTAAGGCTTCCGGGGTTTCTTTCGCAGGCAGGAAAGGACATAGCACTCAAACTCTCTAAGTGTGGATGGCTTGAGTGTTTCACAATCAATCTCAATCTCTTTTGGGTTTGGATCACACAAAGAGGGCTCCCTGGCTTGGATTCTATGCACAACTCGACCCAGCTTCTCCCCAGGTAATTTGTTGATATCCAGGCTCAACTGCCGCTTCTCATCATAACTCATGGGCCTGCTCTCTTCCTCTTCCTCTGAATCATAACCCATAGGCAGGGCAGGTGGGGCCGTCTTTGTGGCCTTTTTTGGCAGCTTCGTGCCACTTCCTCCAGAAGGTCCAAAGCCAGAAGGAACTATAGCAGCACTGCCCACCCCCACTGCCACTTGCTTTCTTGGACTTTTTGGGCTGTGGGGGGCGAGGTGCCCATGGCCCCTTGTCATCTTCATCAGCCCCAGCTCGGCCTCGATGCTTCTCTGTCTTCCGTTTCTTCTTTTTCTCTCCTTTTCCTCTCTTCCACTTGGGCTTGGATATTGGGCCCCTGGGACAAGGCAGCTAGCTGTTCATGTACTGCCCGAAGCTGTTCCTGTAGTTCAGCCAAGCGATGAGCTCTTTCTTCCTCTGAGTCTGACCTTTCACTCTCTTCTTCTTCCTCGTCCTCTTTATCTTCCTCCTTCTCTTCCTCAGAGGAACTCTCACTGCTACTTTCTTCACTGGAGGACTCTGAAGATGATTTGGCCGGGCCAGGAGGCAAGGCAGTAGAGACTGGTAAAGGCCTTGGTTCCAGTGGCTCATCTGGCATCTTGGCATAACGGAACTCAAATACATCCTGCAGCTTTCGTGCCACGGCCACAACATCGTGGTCTGGGGGATTGTACTTATAGCAGTTGGAGAACATAAGCTGCACATCAGCAGCAAACTCCTGTGCATCCTGGTAATCGCGATTCTCCATCTTCTGCTTGACAGTGCTGAGGTCCATGGGGTGCTTAATGATGTCGTGGTAATCACGCAGGCCAAGAGCAGAAGCGTCCACTGGTTTATAGAAAGGCCAGGCATAGGCAGCATGCTTCTTGGAGAATAACTCTTTCAAAATGCCATTGCAATGTTTTAACTGTTCTGATAATTTTCCTTTCTTAGAGCTCTGGTGTTGTTGCTGAGAGCCAGGCAAGTCTTTGCGTGGTGGCTTGATGGGACGATCCCTCTCTCTACGTACAGGGGGCATCCGTGCTGCTTTAGGTTCAAGACCCCCAGGACGACTAGCTGGGGAACGAGGAGCCAGGATGGCTGTAGATGTAGGGGTGGTAGTATCTGCTTTCCGCTTTACATCTTTTTTCTTGGCAAGGGGCTGGGCTGGGGGAGCTGTAGTAACAGCAAGAAGTGGGGGTCCAGCAGAGTGCAGGGACTTGAGAAGGGGAGAAGAAATGACCGATGGATGGGGAATGTTGAGGACAGTGGTAGGTAGCTCAGGCGGTGGAGTATACAGGGCTGTATGTGATACAGGAGAGACAGCAGGCACCTGATGGGCACTGGTAATAGTGCCCTGGATTGCTGACAACTTGGCCCCCTTCTTGTGGCTGTTGTTAGGGATGGTCATCTCTTGTGGCATTGATGCCACTTTCTGTAGAAAGATCTTTTCCAGCGTTTGTGCCATCGGGACAATATCGTCAGTGGGCTTGTTGTAAATATAACAGTTGGTGAACATGGTATTAAAATCTTGCATACACTCTGATGCAGCCCAATAATAACTGTTTTCAAGTCTCCTCTTAATAGTACCCATGTCCATAGGCTGTTTTATAATTTTGTGATAATCCAGCAGACCCAGTTTGACGGCATCCACAGGCTGCCGGAATGACCGTGCAAACTGATGTTTCAACAGAGCCTTCATTACCACTTTGTGTAGGTATTGCAGCAGATTGGTAACTCGTCCTGGCTTTTTGGGTTTGGACACTTCTGGGGGTGTTGGGTTGGCAAGGGTCAGTTGTAAAGCTGGCACTGAAGCCATTGTGGGGCTCTCACATCCCAAATACAACAGGGAGGGCTTTCGAATCCTTTTCCCTGGTGCTGCTGCCTCTGGGCCCAGCCCCAGTAACCCTGCATTCCCGTCCCCAGGGAGCTTGTGGGGAGTCACGTTTTGCAGCATCTTGACCGCAGGGAACCGGCGCTGCCCTCAGAATGCGGAAAGTCCGGGTGGCCTCGGTTCCCCTCACAGCACGGTCCAGCATAACCCGGGAAGTGGAGGGGCCCCATTGCTCTTGGCCCCCCAGGCGACAACCCGCCTGCCTGGCCAGCTCGAAAGCAGCCTCCTCGCAGCCTCTCGGAGAGCTCCCAGCAGCTTGGCGCGCTCCGCAGGTAGCGAACAGCAAGAAAATGGCGTCGGCCTCAGCCTACGCGAGTGAGCGAGGGGGGACTGACTCTTCAAACCCAAAGACGGTCCCTGATCCCAGACACCGTCGTCAACACAGCCCGCTGTTGGTCTGAAGGGGTCTCTTCTTGTCGGGACCGTCCGGGACGGACGAGGTCCCGTTTCGATCTCAGATGGAGGCGGATAAACGCAAAAAGTGGTTTAAGGAGCCACCGCCTCCATTTTTGAAATCCTCTTGAGGGCGGAGAAGAGAGGATGGACAGACTCCAAGGATTGGGCGGGGCCCTGAAAAAGAAGCGCTTCTGGAGCTTCTATAGGGTCTGCACTGTCTACCGTGATCAGTCATAGGCCGAGACAAAGGACATTTCCAAGCAGATGGACGTGGATTGTAATGGCGGCTGCCAACAACTCGAAGACTCTGTATCAGTAGGCAGAATCCTCCAGCTCATTCTAGAAGCCCCTCCATTCCAGTGCAAAATGGCGTCGCGGAGCCCCGCGCCAGCCCTTTATATATAGGCGGGGGGGGAGGAGCTTCGCTGCTCATGCGCGCCTCCCCGCTCGAGATTGCCCCCACCCCTTCAGCGTGCGCGCGCTCGCTCACGCGCGTGAAGCAGCGCAGTCGAAGGAGGAGGAACACCTCTCCGCGGGAGCTTTTTCTATTGGTCAGCCAAAGCGATGACGTCACAAATCTTATTTCCAAGGTGTCAGTCACCAGGCAGAAGAGTGCCACATAGACCCATTGGGAAGTGGCAACCTGCGACATCTCTGAGCCAGTTGGCTGAGCTGTGGTTCGGCGACTCCAGGGAAAGTGGGAAGGGGTGCAGGAGCCATCACCCAAGAGCCTTCAGCACTCTCTCTCTTCCTCCCCTTCCAACAAAGTCGTCCCAGGCTTCCAAGCACCGTGTAACTGGAGACTGCCCAGCTCCGGCAGGTCGTGCCATTCGTAGCTCCTCCATTGGCCAGACGGGCAGGGGGATGGGAGGAGTCACGTGGGCGTAGCCAGCCTCGGCCCACCAGGGCTGTGGCCGCAAGACGCCTGGCTGGCTGTTGTTCTTGGGAGTAAGGCCCTCGGGTGAGGAATCAGGGTCCGGAGTCCTCCCCACGGAACGGCTCGTCCATCGGTCAGCGCCAGGGAGGAGGGTGAGCGGAAGAGGCAGTGGCAGCCGCTCAGATTAGCCCTCCCCCTCCTCCCTTCCCCTCCTCCTCTTTCTCTGGGCCCTCTGCCAGAGACAGGTTCTTTTAAATCAACATTTTAGAACACCTGGGATAAGGGGGGCTTCCCTAAAAGCTTCTAGAGAGAAGGAAAGGTCACAGCAGTGAAGAGGGTATGAGGATGATGCTAAACTGTTGACAGTTTGGAAGCAACAAGAGTCTGGGGCAAGGCCTTCAGAAATCCAAGGAAAAATTATTTCCAATGTGGAATTCTATACCTAGCCAAACTGTCAGTCAAATGTGGTGGTAGAACATGGTCATTTGCAGACATGCAAAGTGTCAAAAGCATACCACCCATGCACTGATTCCCAGGAGTTTCAGCCACATGTGTCTGAGGGATAAGTCTTCCTGAGATAGGCCTGAGGTCTAGGAAACAAGAACTGTAACACAGAAAGAAAGCAAAAGGAAGTCCCAAGATGAGGCACCAAAGAGCTATCAGTGTCAACTGGAGCAGAGTGACAAGGGTCCCCAGGAGTGTGATATGCAGGAAATAAGAAGGAATTGATAGATTATCTGATATGTTTGATTATATCCTGAAAAACTGTGTTGAGAGGGTGTTGATGGATGTAGCAAACACAGAGGAAAAGTCCATGGTACAGCTGAAAAACTATAGGAATTGAGGCCAGGGGGAAAGAAACATGAAGCAGTGCACTTGGCTCAGCAGGGAACAGCAGGCACATGGTCAAAATAATGGCTTGACTAAGTGTGGTGACCGTGTAGGAGGGTGGGGAAGGGAGGGCTTGCATGGGGAGGGGTTGTAAGAAAGCTAACTAGTCAGTGATAAATCGTTGACAAATTGATAGATCAAGAAATTTTAAAAGTTATAACTTCTTGAGAAAGAAGTAAATAGCAGATGGATCCCCTAATAAAGTTAAAAATATGCCTTTGGGAAAGGACCTCAGAGGTAGGGAAGTGCCCAAGACGTTGCTGCTGACGTTTTATTTTATAAACCTTTTGGGGTCACATATTTTTTGAACTCTGTATACATACTGCTTTGATTATGAAAACTGTTGAAAAGACTGAATATATGCATCCCCTATCAGCAGTTCCACTCCTAGCTATACGGCCAGCAAAAATAAGTCTATATGCTCATCAAAAAAAACCAAAAAAAAAAAAACTAGAACGTTCATAGCAGCCCTATCTTAAGAGCCAAAAACTAGAAACTTTCCAAATGCATTTTGTGCAGGCGAATGAACAGATAAACTGCAGTCTGTTCCTGCAGTAGGACACTAGAGAGTGCATGGACTGTCACTGCACACAGCAGGGGTGAGTCTCACAGGGAGTGTGGAGGGAGCCAGTCCCTGGTGTGATCTACAGGATCTGCAGGCTCTGTTGGCAGGATGTTCCAAGATAGGCGAAGCTGATCTGGGAGCTGTAAGTCAGGATAGTGGGACCACAGCAAGGGGCAGAGGCAGGCCTGCGTGGTTGTACACACTGTTCTTGGTGCAAGTGCTGGGTCCACGGGCCGGTGCACATTGTGGAGAGTCACCAAGCTGTGCATTGAGGAATTGTGCACTTGCTCTAGGAGTGTTACATTTGGTATAAAATTTTATATATATAGTATATGTGATACATATTACAAAATATATATTCTCTATAATGTATATAAACACGTTTTTTTTTAAAGAAGGACGGACACAGGGAAAGCCATTATGCAAATGTGTGGCCATTTACCACTATTCAGATCTGAGAAATGGGATGGTTGCAATTGTCAGTTCTTCTGATTCCAGCTCTAATTCCGATTTAATAATGGAACTTCTTATGATCTTATGATCACTATTGTTCCTTAACAACCTGCCTTCTGGATACCTGTGACGCCCTAAAGAGAGGGCGTGCTGGCCTGACCTGGGGATATGGTGCGGGCACCGAGGAGCGTGCGCTGCTGGTGCGGCCCGGCCACCCTCCCAGGCAGCAGAGGTGAGCAGGCAGAGGGCAGCAGCAGGCAGGACTGAGCCAAAGCACCCAGACAAGGAGAGCCACTTGGGCCAGAGCACAAGAGCCCCTCACCCTTCCCCAGGGACTCCTGTCTCTGCTTAGGTTCCTCCTGAATCCCCTGTGCATACACCTGAGCTATGCTAGCCCCACAGCCCTCACCCTCGCGTGCAAGCCAAGCCTGAATCCGGAGGAGCCATGGCAGGCTGCTCTCCAGCACCTGGGAGAGGAGCCAAGCAAGCGTGTGGAAGCCACTCTGGCCCAGGCTGCCGGGAGGAAGCCCTGCCAGGAAGGCTGCTCACAAGGTTTGGTGGCTTCTCCATCCCCTGTGGAGAATGGGGGAGGATGGGGTGGTGGTCGCAGCCCCCTGTCCCACAGCAGCCTGACACAGCGGCCCTTGTTCCCGTTGGTGTTCACAGTGTTGTCACCATGTTCTCTGTTCATTGAGATCCACAGATGGGGCCGGCCTGAAGGACAGAGATGCTCAGATGTCTCCCTAGGAAGTCCCCACCCCTGGGTGCAGCAATTCATCCCAGCAGGGGGTGGAGTTGGCTTGGTGCCAGTGCCCAGGTGGCAATCTAGGCGTCAACTAATGTTTGAGTTGGTTTTTAACCAAACACAGTTGGTACATGTGGTTTCATAAGTTGTCTCCTCTCTGCCATTTGGACCTAACTAACAACAGAAGATTTATTTTTTTAATGACTTAAAATAGAAGACTTGCTAAAAGGGTGGGGTTGGGGATGTCATCAGAATATACCTGGGCCTAAATATAATCCATGTAGGAAAGAAACATGGCTTGCTTGTTGGAGTTTGAGTGTGATCATTTGCCCCGGAGAACCTTCTGTCCCGCGGTTTGTGTTTAGGTGACCCTGCTGTTCCCATTCAGAACATTAGGCTGAGTCTGCCGCTTTCTCAAGTACAACTCTAGAACCTTTTCAGTGCATGGCAAATGTTAGAAGGTAATAAATAATGGAAATAACCTTTACAATAAGGCAAAGAAATGTAATCCAGCCAGACAGCTATTGGTAGTAGAAGAAATACGAGCCATAATGTATCGAGGGTTGTAAATTTCCAGAGAAATGGTTCGGGAGGCAGTGTCTTACAGAAGTCCTGGTGGCAGGTGTCAGGAATGGCACTGACTGTGGAGGTGCCCCCAACTGTGCCTGGACCCAGCTCCTCCCCACAAATGGAGCATGGAAACATCTGGCCTTGCCCCTAAAAATAGCGACTGTAGGAAAAACAAAGCAGCAGGGATATCCCTCGAAGAAAATTGTGATTTTTCCAAAACCTCAAACAGTGGGTAACTTCCAGCCAAAGGAGAAGAAGACATTGGCAAAAGCTTGTTGGAAACTCACTCTAGAGCTAAGAGAAGTGGGCCCATGGTTCCTGGCCCTCTGAGAGAGCCCAGAGCCAGGCACTTTGGAGTATCTCGGTTGTCTCAGGAAGGGGAGATGTCACACAGCAGAGGAGTGGAACTCAGCGTGGAGGACCTCGCCTCGGGGTCACTGAAAACTGGTGTCCCTGACAGTGAGTGCACCTCCCTGTGATGGACCCCAAACCTGCTTCCCCGTCCCCTCCCATGCTCACCCAGTTCCCTTCACCTTGCAGCCGTTTCATTATCTCCACCCTGACGTTGAACCAGATGTGGGGCACGGCCCCTTCTCTTTG